TGGAGAAGTGCAGCACAGAAGTAGCATTGGCAGGAGATGGAGAGAGGAGATCCTGTCCAGACCTCCAAACTTCCATGACAAGTCCAGAAGGCACTGAGGGCACCTTTCCCCTCTCCTCCTCCTTCTCTCTCATGCTTCTCTGCTAAAGCCAAAGCTGAAATGGGGCAGTGCTTGGCAGGGACTGAAGATCTCTGTGGTGTTGGTAATCCCCATCCCCCAGTAACACCAGTTCCTTGTCTCCCCACAGTCGTGCTGGTGGTGGTGTTTGGCATCTGCTGGGCTCCTTTCCACACCGACCGCCTTGTCTGGAGTTTTGTATCCACCTGGACCAGCAGCATGCTGCACATGTTCCAGTACGTCCACATCATCTCAGGCGTCTTCTTCTACCTGAGCTCGGCCGCCAACCCCATCCTCTACAACCTGATGTCCAGCCGCTTCCGGGAGATGTTCAAGGAGGTGATGTGCCGCCCCGGGCAGCGCCCGCCCTGGGCACGGAGGTACTCGCCCAGCGTCACCCGCACCACCACCCGCAGCACCGAGTGCGAGCCCGTGCCCGGCCCCGGCGGGCTGCCCCCCTCGGGCGCCGAGGAGTACGAGCTGGAGCACACGGAGAGGGGCCACCACGCAATGTCCCTCTGCTGAAGAGTGAGAGGGCAGGGAAGGACTCTGGGACCAGCTTTCCTCACTGCCAGCATCCATGCGCCTGTGGCGCTCATCCTGTGCTGGGGAGCGGGGCAGGAGCGATGGGGGATCCCTCCTCTCCGTGCTGTCCCGCTGGGGTGGAAAGGCTGCTTGTATCAGCAGCACTGCTCCAGGGACATGGTGGCAGTGACCTTGCTGTGCCCTGGATGCATGCCAATGCATCCCACTGTCCTCAGGCCTGGCCAAGGCCAGGGCATCCCTTATGGTGTGGGGACAGTGACTTCTGTGTCAGGGATATGTCAGCAATCCCTAAAAATATTCCATCCCTCCTGGCCCAGGGGGGTGATCCCACAGGTACTGGAGCTGGGGGCTTAGGCATCCCAAGCTGTTTTGGGACACAGGAATGGATGGATGCCCCAAGAGGAGCTTGCACCTGGGCTGAGATCCAGGGCTGTATGAGAGGTTTGCATGGGATTGTGGAAAAACCCCATTCATGGCCAGAAAATGGTCCGTGGGTGCCTTCTCCTTTGAGACCTCTTTAGGGCTGTCTGGCACCAGTGTAACCCTGATTTTCTGGCACATCTCTTCAGTGGTGCCAGCTGGTGCCTGGCTGCAGGTGCTGGTACAGCTCCTTGCTCCCAGCCCTTTGAGGGCAAGGGAAGGAGCATGGCTGCTCCCTCCAGAGCTGGAGTCCAGGGGGAAAATATGGGATAAAAGATGCTCCAGGCTGTCTGTAGTGCCAAGGCAGAGTTCCTTAGCTGTCTGTGTCACATGAATATGCTCCCCTCTCCCGTCTCTGACCAGCATGTGCTGGGTGCCAATCTCTTCTTCCTCTGCCCACTGTGGTCACCTGAACTTGAGGAAAATGTGGGGAGCCTTCCTCCATCCCTGCCCTGCATGGGCTGAACCTCACTGAGAATTAAAAAAAACCACTGGCCTGATTTGTGCCCTGCTTGTGTCCCCTCTGCTCCCAGCATGGGACTGAGCCCAGGCCATGCTCCTGGGGAGGGTGGTGGATGGGCCACGTACCAGGGTGATGGACACCAGGGCTGTTTCACCAGATCTTCCTGGGGGCTCTCCTGCTGTGGTGGGTCTGCAGGTCCAGGGACACTGAGGGCATGACAGGGAGGGCACAAGTGGGATCCTGCACCCTTCCTGGCCTCTCAGGCTGAGCTAGGGCTGGGGCCTTTGCAGAGGGACAGCTGCCTCTGGAGCCAGGGCCATCACTCCTTCCCCAGGCACACTGTTTGGAAAATGTCACGAAAATGCCAGGGAGCGTGGGGTGGCTGGTCATGCTCTCCCAGGCTGGAAGGACCCATCGATTTCCTGTCTGAGATCAATGCTGCTGCCTTCCCTGTGTACACCAGGTCCTGCAGGATGAAATACTGAGGATCTGAAATGGGAGCTAAGGAACCGCCCAAGCAGTTTGAGCTTTTGTTTTGCATTACTTACTCAACCCCAACTCCTCACAGCCAGCTCTGGAGGCTCCCCTGGCTCAGCATCACATGGCCCTGCCTCTGCTCAGCATGGTAGCCTGGGGCTTACTTGAGCAGAAATACTGGATGAGCAAGCCCCAGGCAGAGCACTGGCAGCTGCCATTCTGCTTCCAGCCTCTCCTAAGCCCATTGCATGGGACCACAGCCAGACCAGTGACCGAGAAGAGCAAGGGTTTGGGGCTTGCACACTCCCTCCTGCCCCCATCTACCCAATCCCTAGTTCAGAGGCAGTGCAGCTGGCTTCCCCTGCTCCCCATCCCACAGCCAGGTCTGCCATGGGCAAAGCCCTTCCTTGGCCCTTGGGGGGTCCTGGTGGGTGCTGCTGGGTGAGGGTGGGCATTGGGCTGCAGTAACTTTGTGTTTTAGGGTCTTGCAGCCTCTCTCTGCAGGATGTCAGTGAGAACGAGGGCACTGAGATCTATTTCATCCTCTCTCTCTCCTGTGATGGTCCTGGCAGGGCACAGCACCCTGGCAGCCATGTGGGCCCCTGGTGGCTGCTGTGTGGGTGGATGTGACTGATGCCTCCTTGATGGCCATTATTGCCCCGTCTCACTTCACCCAGCTGCTTCCTCAGCCACAAATCTCCAGGGAATGGCTTTTTAATAGGCAGTCAATAGTATTTTGTAATGTAGTGACAGATGCTCGTGTGGGGTTTTGGGTCCCTCATGCTGCACGAGGGCAAACTTTTCCTTCTGTTCCTGAAAAGCCAGGCTGTGCAGGGATACAGCTGTGGCTGCTGCAGCTCAAGTGCCTTGGTCAGTGTCAGAGTGTATCAGAGTGTGTTCCCAGGGTTTCATTACAGGATCCTTGGTTGCAGCACAGCTGGGATGGAGTCCAGAGCAGCCAGAAGGGTGAGGCACTGCCTTTGCCTTTATCCAGCCTTGTTTTCCCAGCTGCCCAGGCATCTCCTGACCTGGGACTCCCCATCCTCCTTGGTGACCCCGAATTCTCCTCTCTCAGATGCACAAAGGGAATATGCAGCTCAAACCTTGATATATTGGGTGGTGATGCTGGAGCTGCCCCACCACCCACTCCACATGCACAGCTGGGTCAGGATCACCCTGCAAAGCATCCCAAAAGCTTGTGAGAGATGTAGCTGCAGAACAGCTGGTGGCATCTCCTGGGTGAAGATGTATGGGCTGGGTTTTGATGATGTGGAGACTTCCTGGGTACCACATGCCAGCTGGGCTCCCAAGAGATGCTTGAATTAAAGGCTGCTGGGCAAGTAATTTAATCCTGTAATTCATTAATACATGAAACCTAATAAAAAAGGAACTGATCTCCTCAGGGAGAATGGTTTCATGAAGAGTATTTTGCACCTCTCCACTACTGGGAAAGCACTGGGATGACTCCTTCCTGCCTCAGGCTCACTGCAGCCCCAGGAAGGGAATTAGGAGCTCTTTGGTCCAAGAATTATGTTCCCCACTGCCCTGAGCCCTCAGGATCAGCCTGGCCTCTGCCACCTTCCCAGTATAAATCAGAGGAATTATTCTTTCCAGGGAGGTGATACAGAAGTAAAAGGCCCTGTGGGATGGGAAAATGCAGAAGACAAGGATGGGCAATTTTCTCCCACTGCTCTCACCCCTGTAACTGGCATGGGGGAATGACTGCTGCTTCAGGATGGTTGGGCAGAAGGAGCATTCCAAAACACTGCCTGGGGGTCAAATATTTCAGAGCCCAGAGGACCCCAGATGGGTCAGAGGAGAGGTAAATTGAGGGGCCAGGAGATGCAGGGAGTGTGTGGATGCCATTGCTCTGTGACTTTGCTCAGAGCTGGGAGAAGCATCTCTCTGTCCCTGCAATATGGAGCACGTGGTCAGGTTGGGCTGCATGCCACCATCTCTTCTCCAAACACTTTGTTTCTGAAGAGCTGTTCCCTAAAACTTGTCCATCTGTCCTCCCAGACTTAAAGCAGCTTCTGTCCAACTGCCAGCTCCTGCCTGATCACCTGCTCCTGGCTGCAGGAGAACCCTCCTGTCCCCCAGAAGAATCCTCCTGTCCCCCCCTCCAGCTCAGCTCCTGGAGCTGTTTCCCCCCATGCTGCTGCATGCCCTGAGTGACACAGTATCTCCAAAGCTTCCAGTGAAAAGATTTATCACCAGAGCTTTGGGGATTAAAAAGCAATTCATCTATGAGGCTGCTCCAGCCTTGTAAGGCTTTTTTTTTTGTGCTGTGATTATTTGCAACAAGCACGGGGTGGAGTTTTTTTCCTTTACAGAGCCAAACTCAAATTTTACAGCAATTGCCTTGTATATTTGTAGCCATGATAAATGGCTCCAGAGTGTGCCAGCGGATTTTTTTGCTGCCCCTTTTCAAGGGAAGGGCTGTTTTCCCCTTCCTTCACACAGCCATGGGATGGGGAAAACTCGTTCAGTGTGGATTTGGCAAAGCCCTTGTGAGCCTGAGAATGAGCAGTCCCTGTCTAGGGCTGGGCAGGGGGGCAGGTTTGGGCTGCCCAGCCATGGATGCAGCACAGCAGCCTTTCCCACCAAGATCCCAGCATTTGTTAGGGGAGGAGGGATGCAGGAAAATGTAGAATTTAGGAAACTGTGCTGGGTTTGAGCTTAGGCTGCTTTTCAAACCATATTTCATTTATTCCCCTTATTCCAGGCTAGTGATGCTGGTGAAAAGACAACACACAGTGCCTACAGATGGTGATGGGCAACTCGAGGTAGGCAGGGAGGCAAATAGACAGCAAGAAACCACAGAATCATGGAATAGTTCAGGTTGGAAGGGACCTTTGAATGTTTAGTCCAGCCCCTAGTGTATATATGCAGAATTTGATTCTGCTCCTCAGGGACACCTCTGGGCTCAGTTTTTAGGCAGAGACAGCCCATCTTCCTGCCTGGCTCCTCAGTGGCTTCCCCAAGAGCCAGGATTTTCACAGAAATCAGCTTCCAGGCAGCCAGGCACTGCAGGGAGGCTGGGGTGAGGCAGCCTGGGGAGCACAGCCCAGCCAAGGGCCTGGGTGGAGGAGCTCAGGTGCAGCTCTGGATGCTCAGGCTGGCTCAGCAGTAATGCACTGTGACTGTCACCTGCACCAGGGACAGTCTCCTCTATGTCACAGCAAACCAAACAGCCCTGGAGGGATGAGGCCATGTGCAGGGAAGTGATGGGCTCCTTGCCCCCCACCTCTCCTGATCTTAGACCACACATGGAGGGAAAACACTAGACCTAGAGGGACAAAGGGCATCTCCAAGAAGTGAAGGACTGTGTGTTGCTCTGTGTCAGAAATCCCACTGTCCTGCTGGCAGGGCAAGGGGAAGGGCACTGTGCATTCCCCTCTGTCCTTCCCCAGTCTAGCAGGGACAATTAAAGCCACTGGGCACCTTCACAGGAGTCACCTGGGGCAGGGTTAAACCCCTGCCACGATGGGTTAGGAGAGAGAGAGAGAGAGGTTAGCCCATTATCTTCTCCTGTAGCAGCTGTGGTTGCTAAAGATGGCAGAATTTATGTCAGAGAAGCCTGTGTGATGCTTAATTTTGTTCATGGGGACACTTTGGT